CGGCAGCGCCATCCCGGCCGTGGCCCGCCCTTCCCGCCGCCCTTCCCGCCGTGCCGCCCCGGGCTGTGACCGGGGGGTGCGACAGCTCGGTGCTGCCGCCCTGTGCGGTGTCAGCCCGGCAGGACGAGGCTCGCCCGGGGCCCATGTTTTCACCCGAGCCGTGCCCCCGAGGGACGGGTGGCTCAGGGGCGGGGGTTGTGCGCGCACGCCGCCGTATGGCTTTATTTTGGCTTTTACTGGTTTGTTTTTGTTGTGGAAAAGCCCTGCTTCCCAGCTGTGAGGGCTGGCGCTTCCAACTGCTTGTTCCGAGCGTCCGGGCAATGGTCATGCCAAAAAAGCTATTATGGGAAGTTAACAAAAGACACGTCAAGGAGTCGAAAAGATTTCCCTTTCTCCGTGCCGCCAGAGCTGCCTCACTCCTGCTCATTGTCCTTGGGACCGCAGGCAAATCTGTGGAATCTGAAACTAGCTCTTTCCCTTATTTTTATTTTTTTTTTTTTCTTAGAGGTTAGTTTAAATTGGTTTGTTTTGATTTTTTTCTTTGATAAGGTCATTTTTATAAGGAAAAAAAGTTTTATTTTCACATTGAACTCAAGTTACTTTTTCTTCTTTTCAAAAGCTTTAGAAAGCAGCCTTTCTAGGAAAATATAAATTTCGACTTTCTTTGGCAGCTTTTTAACTAGTAAGAGAAGGCCATGGAGTAGTGGGTGTTCATTCCTAGCTCCTGTGGTATAAATTGCATGGAGAGGCGCTGCTTTGAACCAAGTTCCTCCGTGGATGCGAGTGTGGAGGGGTATGCCCATAGCTGGGACAAATGGGAAAGACTGAAAGTGGCTTTGTGGAGTTCACGTCGCAGTTGTTCCCTGGGGAAATATCTCAGGTTTGTCCACGAATTCTGGCTGCCTTTACCACTTGAAGACTCCTGATACGTGTTCCAGGTGGTAGTGGGTTAAGGTTTGCAAAAAAGTAGTGAAGTGGAAGAAAAGCCCCCACAGCTTTCTCTGCCGGTAAATCTTCAGCACACCTGCGACAAGGCTGTACCTAAAAGGAGGGCAGGTGATTTGTCTGAGCTCAAATCTAATTGATAGATTGGTTTTGCAGCAGATAACCTGGTGGCCTGTAAGATGATCATGTGTATTTAATGATTAGTGTGCAATTCGTATTGGCTGCTGCTTGCAAGCAGCAGCAGAAGAAGGTATGGACAGCAACATGTAACTTTTCTGCAGTTTTTATTTTTCCTTCATGTGTTCCTGAGGTTGTGTTTTTAGAGTTACTTAATCAGCTAGAGCTGCATCAGCACTGTTAGTTGTATGTCACAAGCAGTTCGAACTGCTTCATGCTGAGCAACTTTGGCATCTGTGCAGCTCCTCGGGTAGGTAGCAGTGTACACGTGCATCAAGATGCATCTGTGCCAACAGGTTGGAACAGCTTGGTTTAGTCGGAACAAGTTCAGCTCTGTCTGGACCCATCTGCACAGACATGCCGCGTTTGTAAAACTGGATTCCAAAAAGGGAGAGAAATTAAACTGGAGGGCCTAGATTTTTAATTACTCCGTGATCATCCAGTGTCGCAGGTTTATTAGTTTTCAGTGATGGTGTGCCCATGTTTCAGTCCTGTCACATTTCCACGTGCAATACCTTGCATAACTCGTTGTATGTTTCTTACTTTGCAAGTGCTTTGCTTTGAGGTGCTGGGACTATGTTTGCCTAACTGCTGAAGTCTCCAAGGCAATGTTTTTGGCATAGAAACCAAT